TGCGTTGGCTTTTAAATAATTGCGGGATCAATCGGCGGATGGGGCAGCAGAGGCCCCAGGGCGCGGCAGGCGAGCTTTAATAGTTGGCTGGGACGTTCCCGCGCAGGATCCGGCGTCCGGTCTGGCCTCTTCTCTGGGTCTCTGACGCGTTGGGGTCCCGACGCTCTGGCGGTTCCCAAGGCTTTGGCACCCCTCGGCAGCGGAGGGCGGGGAGCAGCAGTTCCCGCCCAAATTTCTCTGCCCCGTCGTCACCCACCTCCCTCGTGTTCCATGATTCTCGGTCCCGTTTCTCTCGGTCGCTCCCGCTCAGGGTCTTCTCTGGCGTCTTTCTCGCTCAGGGTCTCTGCCCCTCCATTACTTCTCGTGCCCGCCCCCTGCGCGTCGTCAAATTAGGGCCGGGCCCCTACTCTCCGCCGGAGGCGGGGCCAGGCCACCGCGGGTGGTTCATTAGAAGTGGAATCGAAAATGACGAAAGCCGGGCGGCCTCCCGCTCCCTGGCCCCCTCCAAATGAGGACCGAAAAATTGTACAAATAGCAGGCTGCCTACATAGAAATCAATACTCTCCAACTAAGAGGGGAATGCTTGTGTCTTCCAGAAATGATACAGCAAACGCCCTTTCCCACATTCGGAGAAATAAGCCAGCACTCTGGGTATTTCTGTCTGTTTGCAGGACAGGACCCTGTGACCCTGGAAGGTTAGGCCCAGCATCTAGAGTCTGAGGGCTGGATCGCGGTTGCTCCCTGGCTGGCACGCCAGCCAGCGGATCTGACGGCAGTGGGCCCAGGTGGGAGTCGGTGATGCGAACGCGCGTGCCAACGTCTTTAGGGTGTGAGTGCGCGCGCGGACGTGCGCACCAGCGAGTGTGCGTGCCGCTTCACATTGCGGTCCCCGGAGCCTGCTCCGCACACAAGGACGGGTCCTTTGCAATTACCGCGGGCAATGATCCTTTGGAAGGAGAAATTAAAAGTTGGGAGAAATAATGGGGGACCGATCAGCTGTAATTTGGGCCAAGCTCGGACACGCTAAGCCTCAGGGAGTCTGGGACTGGGGGAGGCACAGGCCTCCCCTCCCCCTTCCTCCTCTCCTCGCCCCTTCCCGCCCTCCCCGTTTGCTGGTCCATCCTGAGATTCTAATCAGACCCACAACACTGTGTCCTTCCTTGCCAGGACTTGATTATTCTTTATCTTTAAATTATAAATCACCTCTGGGGGAAGGAGGGTGGGTAATCTCTCATCGCAGGGAGGTAATTATCTTCTTCCCGCCCCCACCTTGGTCTTCGCTCTCTCCACCCCTCCCCCAGCTAAGTTTGAATATAGATGTGCAGGCCCCATTCACACACACACACACACACACACGCACACACACTCATTCACAAGTACGCAGCATAGCACACAAGCACAGGTTCATTCATGAACACCCAGACACACAAAGTCAGGGCACATACCACAAATGCGCTCACATGCCAGCGTCCTCAGTCTCTCCTCACCAGCTCAGGGCCAGTCCTGGGGTCCCTTTAACGCTTTCCTCTAGAGCACCCACACAAGTTGCCTGCCAGGTCCCTAGGGTGGAGCGTGTTCCCCCAGGAAGCACAACTGCGGAGTGGAGGAGGGGGGGTTGGAGGTGGGAGGACAGGGCAGGTCTCTAGTGTCGACCTGTGACCTGGCTCTGGGTGGTCAAGTCTCAGCGTGACATTGAGGATTACAATCCCTGCACACTCCTTGCTGCAAAGTGTCTGTCCCTACCACAAGTCTCATAAAAGCAGCCACACACCCCACACCCTGCCAAGTGGGTGAGGGCTAGGCAGGGTGTGGGGATTGTGTTCTCAGCCCCATGAGACACCCTAGCCACCTGCATGGGAGGAAGAGAAATGCATGGCACCTCCAGATCGCTTGGTACAACTCATTCCAGACAAACACATGTAAAATGGTACTTTGTGGAATGCAGATGTAGGGTAATGTATGATGATTCTCACTAAAACAGTAAATATAATGCAATATGTTATGTGAGCCATGTAATAAGAACAAGAAATAATACATTGTAACGTGATATAGAACTTCAAGTATTTTCCCCTAAATACACCTGCTCAGCACCCAGAATGCTCCCCCTGCTGAGGGATGTGGGCTGGTTCTGAGCTGAGTGCTATTGAGCGGGAAGCCCTGAGGCTGTTCCAAAGTTTGCAGGTCGGAGATTTCCCTCCTCATCCTCCCTCCCCTCTCCTCCCCGCTCAGCGTTCCACGGAAAGCCGCAGCAGGCGGGGTAATGAACTGAAAAGTCCGCGGTCAGGCTCTGAGGAGCAGGGGCGGGGCAATGGGGCCTGAGGGGGTTCTCCAGAGCCAAATAGGGCACTTCCCATCCCTTTCCCTTGGAAAAGGGAGCGCTGTAAGTGGACTAGGCTCGGGGAGGGGAATCGTGCGTCCTCTCTCTCCATTTCTCGTTTATCTCTAAGAAGCAATTCCAGCCCCACTGGAGATGCAGGACACACCATCCTCCTCTGCCAGATCCGTGGGAACAACTTTCCCCTCCCCCCAACCTCAACCTAGAATGTCTGGGGCTATAAAGACGTCCTTTTGCTTCTAATCACAATTGATTGTCAATTAGACCCTCGTTTGTGCAATCTTTGCCCATCTGCCATCTCGGGTTATCTCCAAGCCACCAGCTTCACTTGCAGGGCCCCAGGTGGGCACTGACAGGTGAAAAGCAGTGCCTGAGATGGGGATGCCTCTGCCGCCCAGTAGACAGGAAACGTCCCGTTCATTGCTGAGCCCCAACCCGCTGCAGATCAGTCAGGACCAGATGGGGTCCTTGGCGGGCTTAGGGGGTGGCGTCCATCAAGGCAGGAAGAGACATAGGACAAGGGAAGAAGTCGGGAAGGAGGTAAAGGATCTTAGAAGTGGGCCTGGGAAAAGGAGTGGATGGGGCTAATATTTCTAGCATTCTCTCCCCCAACATTATATGTTTGAAGTTTGGGAGGACAAGAGCAAGAGGGGGATCCCACCACCTCTGCCACTAAATCACTGTGAGTTTGTATAGTTCTTGTCTTACGCAAAGTGCACTTCCCCCCAGACCACCCAGGGTCCCCCACGACTGCGCTATGAAACGTGCAGAGCAAGGACTACCATCCCCATCTACAAACTGGTGTTCTGATTCCTTGAGTTCAAGGGGGTCAGGGCTGACATCGTGCTGCCTCTGATGGGGCCCCGCTCTGTGAAGAATGCAAGAGGTAGAGACTGAGAATGGGGGAAGAAGTCTTCTGTGTTCCCTCTTCTCGTCCCTTCACACATCCCGCTCCATGGCGAACCCCGTTGCTCACCAGAGTTTGGAAAATGAGCGGAGAACTTTCTGCTTATTGGCGTCATTATTCACCTTCTATAAGACATACTTCCTGTAAAGCCCTGTACACCAAGAAAGGGTACACCACACTCCGAACACCGGAGGAGAGAGAACACCAGCCGCTGACCTCTCAAAAGCACTGCAGCTCTGGGGACCCGGCCCCAGCCCCGCCGGCTTCTGCACAGTGACACCTTCAGCACGGAGAACAGCTCTCGCGCTCCAGACTCCCTGGCAGCACCACGGACAGCGCTCCCCTGTAGCCTCCCACAGAGGCAACCCGAGTGCGCGGCGCCGCCTGCACAGCCCAGCGTCTCTCCTCGCGGCCAACAGCACGCAGTCTCATCTCTGCCCCATCTTCCGCTCTGTTCTCCAAACTGTGGGGTTCTTCAGGAGAGAAAGAGGGTGCAGGCTGTTCGTGTGTGGTGGGTAGGATCTTGGAACAGTGTATGTTACACCTCCAGTCCATTTACCTTGTCCAAGCCAGGACTCACTGGTTCATTGCCTGGGTTTGCATTCTCCTATTTGAAAGCTGCATGATGAGTTCAGGTTATAAAGTATCTCTTAACTCAGGGCCCGGCTTGTGGCAAGGAGTCATTCAGAAATGCAAGAGTGAGGTTTAAACTTTACCTCTTAACTAACTTAAAACAAAATTTATCAACAACTGGGAGTGGCTCTCAGGTTGCAGGGAATCAAGGGTGCATCGCATCGGAGCTGCAGAAGACAGCGGCCAGCTTGCTTCCTCTCTGGGGCACAGCTGGTTGTACTTGAAGGACACCCTGGCTCTGAAGGGTTTGCTCACACAGAGTAGGGCAGAGGTGAGGATTACCACCTTACGGATGAGTGAACTGAGGCCAGAGTGGCTCAACGATGTGCTCGAGGTCATCCAGCCAGTAAGCGGTGGAGCTCCGATGTGAATGCTGGGTTCCTCTGACACAGCATTTTTACTGAACAAAGTCACAGACAATCAGCCCCTGAGTGCCAGAGGGAAGGCAGTCCAGGCAGGGTGCCCAGAGGGTCCTTGCTCCACAGGCTGTCCCTCCAGACTGCCCTGCACTGCTGCCTGCCATTCCTGGCTTTCATTTTATTTTTTTATCTGCCACTGGCTTGTTTTAGAGGTGTGAGCCTGCAGGGACTGGCCACCTTTCCTCCCATTCCCCCAGGCTCCTGCCAGTACCCAGGGCTCCAACCTCAGGCATTCTTACCGTGATGGTTCCAGAGTTATCTGGGGTATCTAAGGAGCGGTCAAGGCCGTGCTGTCTGGAAGCATGTGGTCAGGAGACTCCTCCTGAGGACCACCCCTCTGGGGGTGCCTTGGGCACTTGGTGTCAGCCTCCCCTTGATGACTCACTCACCTCTCACTGCCCCTGCCACAGTCCGGGCCTCCATTCCAGTCTGCATCATTCTCCAATGTAAACTGAATCACACTCATCCTCTTTGAGAAACTCTCCAAGGTCTCCATGGTCCAGAGGTCACATCTGGGCCCTGCGTCCTGACATACGGGACCTTTCCAGATGGATTCTTCTGTCTCTCCAGCATCCTGTACCCAGAACTGCCATCTGTACCCAGATGACCAGGCCACCATTTTTCCTCTGCTGGTAGTGTCCTTGGTCACATTCCACGTGCATCCTCCTTGCTCACCTTAGTGGCAACACCAACTGGAAGCCATCCTGATTTCCTCAAGGTGGAATAGGGGCTGTCCAAACCTGGGCTTCATTGCGTCATGCCTTACTGACCAACATCTGTTCACCTGTGGCTCAGCCCTTAAACTGTGGACTCTTGGGCACTGGGTGTGTGTTTCATTTAGCTCTGTGTCCTTCTTCAGCATAGAGGGAGGACATGAAGGGCAAAAACCTGCTGCATCAGTTAAGAAAAATGGAGGCCCCAATGCGAGAGGTAGGGCAAGCATTCAGCCCAGTCTCCCCACCTCCACCCACTATGGCCGCACTTCCTGGTCCATCTGTCTAGCCCCCACAGACAGGGAAACGGCCTTGGCCATGCTGGCTCTGTCCTCCACTAACAGCACATCTGGCACAGTCTCCCGGTATAAGGGATGCAGGCGATGCCCGCCCCAATCCCGGATAAGCCAGGGGACCCTGGTCCCAACTGCTGTGAATGTCATGTCTGAACTCTGGGAAGCTCTCCTGGGCTGACACTGCTTCTAGAGACAGCTGGGGAAGCCCTACCCCTGAAGGAAGGGGCGGGGCAGCTGTCCAGAGCGCCATTCTGATCAGACCAGTGGGACCTTACAGAGAGTCTCTTGCATTCTTCTGTCTCTGCCTTTCCTGCACTCCCTCCAGGATTTCTCCTGCTTTTGTAAACCACAGGCATCTGAATCCCTGTCTCTGGCTCTGCATAAGCCTCTAGGGGCTATATAGGAGGGAGGTAGAGATGGAGACGGGTGAAGTCCCCATCCAGGGGTGGAATTATCACTCCAGTAGTACTGCAGGTCTCAGCAGGCAGCTGAATCTACAGCAGGAAGCTGAATCTGGAGCCAGGGTGAGTTGTGTACATTTATGGTAATGCCTCTTGTCCCTCATTACCTGCCCCTGTGCAAACTGGAACACTCTACTGAATCAGAAATGTGACATATCGGATATTGTATCCACAGTTCTTCCTTCCCCTTATCTCCACATCCTGCTATGGCCTTCCCATGGAGAATGTGTACTTCTGGCCCCACTGCAGCGGAGCTCTGCTGGCCGTGTGCCATGCGGTGGGTAGCAGCAATGAAGTGCCAGTTCCAAGCTCAGATGGTAAGAGGTCTCCTGCTCTTTGTACCTTCTGTCCCCCTCCATGAAAATATGCTCCAGGGTTAGGGTTAGGGTTAGGGTTAGGGTGAGCTTGGACTTGGAATGAAGGTTTAGATGAACTGAAGCCCGAATTCTGGTGAATCCAGCTGAAGGCAGCCTAATTGTAACCGACCACAATCCACGAGCAGAAAATGAACAGCTGTCACGAACCACTGAGATCTTTGGGGTTGTTTGTTACACAGCAGTCCTGTAGCAGAAACCGGGCTGACAGAAGTGGTGCGGCCTTCATCACACTCATCCACTTGCCTGTTCTATGTCCATCTTCTTGCCCAGTTCCCATCTCACCTGGGAACTCTGCCTCAGTTCCTCCCTGTGACCAGGTTCCCTGTATCACTAACCAGTCTCTGTAGCTCCTTTTGGCCGTTCCCTTCAATCACCAGATTCAGGTACCAGTGTCTCCTCTATCACCCTGCCCCAAGAGTTTATTCTTTCACCCCTCTCCAGTGGCTCGCCTCTGACAGGGTGGTTGCTGTGGTGAGCACGGGGGCAAGGATGGCAGGACAGGTGGGCCTGCCCTCAGGCAGCTCCCAGCATCACCACGGAGAGCCCATCTGTGTAACTTGGAGGAGGCAGAGGTCAGGAGGGCTGAGCAGATGTTGGGAGGCTCAGGGACTTGTGAAGGTGGCCCTTCTCTAGCTGAAGGAGGGAGTATAGGCCTTGGGATGCTCTTGAGAGCTGGGTCAACCAGTGTAGGGAGGAGCGAGGGGCAGGGAGTGAAGAGTAGGGATGCTGAGAGACTGTGGAACCCCATGAGATCCACAGAAGGTTTTCAGTACACGAGTTGAGCAAAGTGGTCCTGACCCACCCCGACGCACTCGCCTGTAGGCCCGCTCTGGGTCGGGAGGGCACGTGGGGAGGGGACAGGTCAGGCCACATAATGAGCTTAATTGAGGTTAATGCCTCTTGTGCAGTTCCTTGATTATTAAATTATTATTATCACACGCATGAATCATAATTAGAAGTTTGAGTAACGCTCCAGGGAGAGCCGCGGAGGAGCGATTGCGCTGCACAGCTGTCTGGTGTGCCGCTGTAGGTGGGGGAAGCGTGAGCGCCGGGCGAAGTGGAGTGGGCGCGTGCCCGCGAGTACGTGGTTGGGGGCAGGTGCGTATCCGCGGAGAGAGAAGGAGCCGGCACG